AAACCTTGTGAACGTAAGATCGAAAGATTCCGGAAAGATTTTCGAAAAGATTAAGGGATCGAAAAGATTCCGGATATCTGAAATTGAGGGAGGAGCGATTTTACTACAATTTCTAATGATTATTCATTAAGTGGATTCGTATGAATAAGTTTTGCCTCTAATTTTAGGTGTTGTACCGCAGCAGACCTCACAGGCAATGGCCTTACAAGCAGGCTTACGAACGCTGCATGAAATTGGACCAGAATTGAAGCGGGCAATTTCCGGCAACTTGGAGACTGATTTCACACTAGATATCGAAGAACCTCAGCACAGAGTTGTTTTCATTTACATTCTTGAATCTTGTTGCTTGCAAGTTGAAATTTCTCGGATTTTTTGAAAATTTCACCATTAAGAAAGTGGACTTAACTTCGACACAAGATAAAAATTCAGTTTCAGCGTCCGCACTCACTTTTTAACAACATCATTTCTGCACTTGGTGGTTCGGCACGAGCCAATCAGGTCTACCGTGAAGATCGAACGACTCGATCACTTCCAATGACTGGTTTGCCTTCTAAACTTACGTCAGACTTTTGTTCTTTGAATTTTGCATTATAGTTTTCATATCTGGCAATGAAGAGAAAACATTTTTGTTCCCTTAGACTAATCTGCGAATGCCAGTTTTCAAAAAAATCAGTACGCATGTAACATGCATTTCTGAGAAATTTCAATCTTAAAGCTAAATTTAAATTTAATTTTAATTTATTTAAACAAATTCAAATCACAAGTAAAATGCTGCGTTTATTGCAAAATTACAAGAAAATTACAACTGATATATACTGCAACTGTTCATCTGCTATCGGATTTTGGTAGTATCGAGTTTCGAAATTTGTTAGGAATATGATGCATTTCAAAAGGAGCTTCTAATTTAGTGAGTATCAGTAGTGATTACTAGTCTTTTTCTGCAGCAGAAAGTATGGTTTACAAAAGGTATTAATACTTCCAGCCAACAATCAACTGTCGCCAACACGTTCATTGTACGGTAATGACATGATATCATCGACAACCCATGGTCACGTAACTATTAACTGTTCAATCAATACACCACCTTCGGCACGTTCCAACGGTGGTGTTCTGCAGCGACGTCTACCTCAAATACCTTCTCCAAATGTATCCTTTAGTCAGAAATTATTGGAAAATGATTTCCTGAAAGTTTCACGATTGCCTCTTAACGCCGAACGCCATTATATACTGGCCAACAGAAGGTTTGCTTGGATTCATCTAGAATTTCTGAAGACCTCAGTCCAGAATGTATTTGCATTTTGATCGAAGTATTACAACATTAATCAATAACTTCTTTTCCCAGCATGCCTTTGGATACAGATGAAGAAGAGGAATGGTGTGATAGGAGAGATACAAATAGACTACGAAATGATGAGACGTGGACAAACGATGGTCGGCCGGGAAAAGGCTTAAGGAAACCTTTTATGCTAGCAAGAAATCAAGCAATGGCCATTGCTGGTGTGCCAGCCGATATAAGTGAAGCTTTTGAGGGTACATACAGGTAAACTTAACGAATTTTAACTTCTACTCCTTCTCAATACATTTTCTCATGAAAATGTTCCATGGAACTTTCGAAATAGTTCCAGATTGTCAAATGGACACTTAATTTCCTTCCTGATGTTCTATTTAGACCAGCACCAGATGGGAAATCGGTACGATTACCTCTTTCGAACAGGCCAGTATTAAGGCCACCAGCTGGAAATGAAGAGGGTTTAACCGAACGTCTTGTTGGTGAAGCTTTGGCACTAGGTAGGTATATGGATGAGCGTGTTGTTGAAGCGGCGCGAAGAGAAATTGCAGAAGGTATGTATCGGTATCACAAAAGCGTATGTTTGTAGTTTGAATTTGTTCCTATATGTCTTCTGAATTGCAACAGGAATTACTGTATCTTTTCAGCCTATTCACTAGAAGAATCCGAGCTTGAAAGTGCAGCGGCAACACTGGCAGATGCACGGTACATGGAGCACCTTGGTATGGAGCGTTGCGAAGTACGAGACTTCAACAGATATTCTGCGCGTGCCCTTTTGAGACCCGCACCGTCACAAGAAGCTCCTGAAGACGATCTCTTTGTTACAACATTATAATTCTGGAATAGCGTTTTCATCTGGAAGATTCCCTCCAACTTTCCTCCTCTTTCTTTCATTCACTTTCCAGGAGTAAGCTGCATGGGGGGCTATGGTCGCCCTTCAAAGTTTTGGTAAAGGTCGATGAAAAATGATTTGCTCAACGAACTGCGCCTTCTCTGTTTTTATGTGCTGCAAAATCCGGTGATTGGTGTCACGATTCATTTCATTGTTGTTCAGAGTTTTCCTCTTCATAAAAATAAATAAAAGTTTAAAATGACTTCGGAGAATTCTTTTTGTGAGAAGTTACATTAAGCGGTGAGGGAGTCACGAGAAAATCAGGCTATTCCCCCACCAAAAATTTTGAAGGTTTTCCTAACGTAAAATAGGAAATGTCACACTTTTAACAGGAAGATATACAGGAACATTATAATAATTCGTATTTGAAGTGTCCTTTCATTTCTTCACTTTCTACTATGTACAGATTTTTCTTACAATGGTTTTATCGTGAAAACTGAAGCATTTGGGGATACTCTCTCCAAATGAATATGGTGCTAATAAACTGGTTTAATGTAATGTCTCACCTTCAAAGAAATGCTGCGACGAAACAGCATCGAAATTCGTTTCCCATCAGGATGGGCTGTAAAATGTTATAAACTGATGTATGATGTCACCCTCCGCGATAAATGACCTGTTTAAGTAGTTTGCTACGGTTCGGTTGAAATGACTTTGTATCCATATCGTCAGTGACGCAAAGTTTGTTTAGTAATATGGCACGAAGCTGTGGAAGCGCTTTTGGTTGAATTTTTTGCGGTATTTCCAGAAATATTTGCGACGAAAAGAGGCACATATGACGTGTGAACAAGTATCCATATATATCGTGAACAAATAATATTAACAAAATAAATACCATACGCACACTGAAGTGCATCATGCAAAAAAGTCGAAGTGTAATCGACTCATAACCAGTGACGCTTGGGAGTATCCACGTCACGTGTTCTACGCCTGATTTTGATTTTTTTTTTGCTTAGTAGCAAAGAACAAGATTGATCTGGGGGGATGATAAGCAGTTCTCAAGAAATATAGCCAGAAGATAGGTTGGTTTTTCACTGAGTGACGAAACAATACTTGAGTACTTTTCCGGTACTATGGAACGCAAGACTTTCTGCTTAGATATTGCTATATCGATAAAAAGAGAGGACCAGAGGCAGGGAAGAGAGAGAGAAAGGGAGAGAAAGAAGAATAGGAGGGATGACACATAGAACGGGTTTGCATAACCTTTCCGGAAAACTATAGATTCGGAAAACCCTGAATGCCACAACCATTTCAAAGTTTTCAGAACTATCCTTTTCAATGAATTTTAATATAAACAATTTCGAAAAGCTGCAAAAGCCAGCAAATGGTTCTGAAGTGATGACATGTGAGCAGTGGGAACGGTTTGCTTGGAAGATGTAGAGAGTTTGGCGACAGTATTCCCTTCTCAGAACGAATCTTCATTTCAGGTCGTCTTTTCAAGGACAGTGCAACAGATGTATACTGTTGAACCATACCTGAATTTCCACGAAAATATCCCTCCGCCTGATGTGATGTATTCAGTGAAGAGTTATCATGATGTATCTCATACTAGCGGTATGTTATCCAAACATTATTAACATTTTGAATTTCTGATGTCATGGTATTCACTGTGATGACTGTGCAGCTTATGTGTAACCTACTAGAATTCCCAGAGCTCACTCATGCCATTCCGAAAGTTTTGAAATCTCCGCTTACTCATCTATTTACAGGGCTGATGGGAAATATTACAAGTAGTGTACAATCTTCTATGGAAGAAAGTTTAAAGGAAATTATTAACAGAAATCAGCTGAAACTCATTGAGGAGCTTGCAGCATTTGTTGATCATCTGAATAAGGCATTAATAAGCTCTTCAGCAAAAGTTGAAACAACATTCAGAGAGCGGAGGAACTTCCCCCATGTTCTGCAGCAACAATTTGCATTCAGAAAGGTGAACTTAACAGCTCCAAGTTTAATTACAGCTGCATCTCAAATTTATAGTTAAACTTAATAACAGTCTTGTCGTTCACGATTCTGCAGTTACATTGTAAGCTCGCATTTTTAATCAGCAAAACGACGAACTCATAACTTCAGGAACTCATACGACTTATTTTTCAGGGCAAAGTCGATACTTCACCAAAAGAGGTAGGTGCATACTGTCCTCCAGCACTAGCTGTTTTCGCAACTGTAAAATATCCCATGAACACAATCACACTTATTGGCGATACTAAAGTACTGTGGTTGCGGAATTTAGCGAAAGTTGGTGCCAGAACTTCCATACTGTTTGAAGGATTAAATGATGGAATCAGTTCACCACGTTGTACTATTAAACTGCAAACATCTAACAGTAGTAAATTTTGGTTTCTTGTTTGTATAAACATATCAGCAATGTTCACCACTATACAGCGCAGTTTTCGAAGTGCCAAACCTCATTTCGCAGCTTATTGCAAAGATATAGCATACGTTTGAGAACTTAGGAATTTTTTTTTCTTTTTTTGTATTAATAGGAAAAAGCAGGACTGCCAGTAGAGGGGTTCCTTCCAGTATTTGTTGAAACAGGTTTTTTTAAATTACCATTTCTCTCAATTTTCCAGCTGGATTTCCTACCACGGATAGAGAAACAAACCAATAATTTTTAAGTGGGCTTTTGAGTTTTCGAAAAAAAGAAGGTCCTATGTTAATTTAAAAAAAAAAAAGAAAGAAAAGAGAAAAAGAGGTCCTATGTTAATTTTTACTGCACTGTTTTTAATGGTAATTATATTGTGAATTAAATGGCAATGTATTTCTTCGGAAATTCTTTCGTGAGGTTTAGATAAACCTTAACTAAACTCTGTTAATATTGTTCGTTGCTTGTCTGTTAATATTTTTTTTATAGACAAAAGCTTAGTTGCCGAAGTAAATGGGACGAAATTATCCGAGCATATCTCAGTTTGGAAATTACTTGGTTCATTGACATCGCTTTATTCAATAGCTCCGGAGCATGCAGAAATCTGTACTCATATAGATTATTGGCTGTTACTGATAGATGATGTACTGTCGAACAAAAGTAATGAAAATAATTTATGTCGTCAAATGTGTACTGCTTTAGGTCACCATGACTATCTGGTCTCATATGTTGCTGCAACACTGGCTGATGTTCTTGCATATTCTGTTATCACGAAACAATCTTATTATGCAAATAATGTTGAATTATGGTTAAGACGTATGGATAAATTGTTCCAGTAGACGTAACCACACTTCTAATTTTATATTTTTTAAATCTTACTGACGATCTGACTTTCTTCTAATAATAGCGGACTTCAGTTCTGCAAATTTAGGAGCTCTATGATCATTTAACCAGTGTTCTTCTAGTTATTAATTTATTCTGTCTGACGTAAATTCTCAGTAATGCCTTTTTAGTTCGAATGAAGTTTCAGAAATATACACCTATGAATTCGACATCGTTTTACCACTCTCATTAAGAGTGTCTTGTTCAAAATTTGTAAAAGATTTTGCAGTATTTTTAAGGAATATAACGAATTGTTTCAACTTTATCCAGTTACTTGTTTCATATATTGTTTCGCAACTTGTTTGTACATGATATTTAAAAAAATTGGTTACAGCTGATATAATTAAACAGTTATACCGAATATGGAAGTATTTCACTTCCTGGTATTTTTCTGGCAAAAACTGACATAAGGAAGTTTTGTAACTTCGTTAGGATCGATACTGAGTAACATATGATGGCATAACTATATTATCACAGTAGGATTGCGCGTTTTTCATGTTGCGGAGCAAAATTTACTATATGCTAAACGCGATTCAGATTGTGCGTGCAGTTCTAACGTTCTGAAGTGTTTGCCTGGACGGTTAGTGAAGGCGCATTATCTCTCGTTCACTCTCTAATGTCATTTAAGCTTGGCACGGTACCGTTAAGACGTACCTATCTCTATCTTCAACAGGGTACAATTCAGTTCAGGGATCTTGTAAAGGTTAACTTTTTTTTCAGGATATCCTTTGGATTACTTACACAAATACATGTACAGGTGGGAAGTTCATGAACGGTTTTCATTCGAGGTTACTTTAAGCATTTTACCTGTGTATGTATTTTTCAGGTATTTGCTATTGGTTATAAACAGTTTCCAATGAACGATATACGACATAAGGGTGTTATAGAGTATGTTTTCTGGCACTGGGCACAACTGCAGTACAACAATCCGTACGTACAGCTGGTGCGGTTTACGAACATCAGCGTTGTACCCTTTGCGAAAGCTTTTTTAGGTCAGCTTAAAAAGTCCTCGTGACTTCCTGTGGGGGTCACCTTTTTTGAAATACGGTTTGTCGTGAAATGACATTATGTACTACTACAGAATTTAAAGAATATCCATATCTCATTTTTTGTTGTGTAACTACTTTCTTGCAGTGCTGCTTCCCCATGGTCGTGAATTACTTTTATTTTAAATATTCGTGTACTTATCTTTAACACTATGATAAAAATTAAGAAGTTGAAATTTTTTCACTGGTTTCTCAGCAAAATGGAGCATTACAGATGATGGTCGTGAGGTGCTGTTCGATTTAGAAGGGAAGACCCGCGAGGAAATTGAGGAAATGTTTCGAACAACGTTGGGCAGAACGAAAGTTTCGTCGAGACGAGAACGTTTGGAGAAAATGTTGAGGACCGATCAGGCATTATTTGGGAGGAGGTGTAAGAGGGAATGTATTTGTGAAGTACAAGGCCAACACCCATGTACATCACTCCTTTATGCACCTGATTACATGAAAGGGAAGTGGCGGTGGAATCATAATATTTAGGAATTAATCTTTTTGCGCTCTGTGTATAATTGATGTGGATCAGTTTTTGTTTTGATTTATTTAGTTTCGATAATCTTTGAATTTTAGAGATAACATGATTAGCTGGTATAAAGGCAAAATAAAAATTTGGTGAAGCATTAGGTTTGCTCAACTTCCAATCACATTCTGATCGACAGATTCATGAAATCATCCCAATCGTTTGAAGTATAGATAAATAACGCGTAAAAATACAAATAATGTATTGTGAAAGCAATTTTCTTATGTAGAGCTTGTAGTTATTGGAGTTATGTCGGTGATTTATCGGATTTCCTGGGAAATAAAATTATTCTATATTATGAGATACTTGTAAAAAGTCTGTTACTATGCTGTTTATCGGGATATCTCCGCTACTTTTCTTTATCGAATAGCCGAGGATCTTGAGGCACGTAACAATTTATTCTCCTGTCCCATCAGGTCTTGTCAAAATCTCAGTAGTGGGAATTACCAGTATTGCGATTTTAATATTTTTTCGAAGGTTTTTATTTTGCTTAAATGTCTTGATTCCAATTTGTGCTGGTTAATTTCGAACTTCGACCAAGAACCTATAGATATGAAGGGTAACCACCAATGTATAACCTGTAATATTACACAATACTACCTCGATGGTTATTGGTTCTTTCTCGACCTTATCAAAAACATTCCCCCAATTCATTTTCACTAACTGGTCGAATGAAGAGTATGATTCACAAAGTACGATAGCGTGTGGAGAACTGTCCGTAAACTAAGTTGGAGAATGATCCATAAACCGTATGGGAAGACGTAAAGGTTATGGACCACTTACGGAAAACAGTAAGGCTCATGGATTATTATTAAACAGTTTATGGATAACTATACACACTCTACCGTACGATTAGCTGACTTCCAAAAGACGGTCCCGGAGAGAGTGTTGTGGCGTTCAAAGGCGGTCAGACCAACCGAAGGAAATTTTCTAGCTGGAGTAAGTTGCTATACTTATGTATCTTATAATCTCCAAGAAGGCTTGGAAGACGTTGCATTCATAAGAGTTCCGGCAAAATACCCTGAGTACGGGTAAGAGTAACTCTCGGAATGATTGTGTATCAATAAAATGAGGCGTAGGAAATGTAGTGGCGATAGCGTCCTACAGCTGTATCGTGCAAATTTAAGTATGTTGCGTTTTTTTCTAAACAATTCTTATGTTGACGAAAACCGAAGACGAAGTAGGGATTACTGATTACTGATTCAGTGTGGATAACTTCGTCTTTCAGTGTTGAGACGCAGGAAGTAAAATGGAAGCTTAGACATACATACCCTTCTTTGCGTAAAAGCGTTCTCATTCATTTTCATAGCATCTCTGAAGTCGTAGGTAAGTGTTTAACTGATTAATTAAGGATCATTTTTCTTTGAAGCAGTTTGTTAAACGGGTTTTGTATTGCATTTAAAAATTTCAAGTTTACAAATTTTCGAAATCAGTTAGTCTTAGGGCAAAATCTATTGGGAATATTACTGTTGATGCTGTCACACCTAAATGTCACTTCATAATTTGATTACTTCTTGCGGTAATATGCGGTGTGTTAATGATCAATTCCGTTGCTGTCGGACCTACTTGAAAGTTTTTCAAGGTTTCTTTATCATTTTCATGATGCTATTGATCATTTTAAGCTTTACTCAGAAGAGTTTAGTAAGTTTTAAAAAAAGATTGTTCACTCATTTTGACTATAGATCTAGGGAGGAATTAAATTGTCAGTTCTTTATTTTAACGAAATTCACGCTTTGGATTTCTCATCTGGGATGTTTCTGGTTCTCTTTTTTATATCTTGGATTTTTATTTTTTGATACGGTGGGAGTTTAATTTTTAATTTTTTGTTAGTTTTTAATTTTTAATTTTTTGTTTTTTGTTTTTGTTTTTAATTAGCTTTAATTTTTATTTTTTGATACGGTGGGAGTTTTTTCTTGTTCGTCAGTATGATTTCTTAATGCTGGTCTCTGCATCATGTTTTCTGAATGTTTATAGCTACACCAATTTCCTCTTAGTCACCAGCAAAAACCTCCAGAATTTTGTTTGATGATCAAGGAAGACTTTTTCATATTCCAATGTCCTTCATGCGTACTTGGTTGGACGCACCTTTTTTTTACTTGTTATAATTACTGATTACGTAATTTTTATTTCGAGAGACCAATTTCATTATTATACAGAAGTTAACAATTAACACTCAAGGATGAGGTTTAATTTTTTAATTTGTTTAGTTTATAATTTCACTGTTTCCCAGAAATTTTGCTTTTTATAGAGATACGAAATATTTTTTCGAGAAACAGTTCCCCCTCGAGAAGTTTCTTACAAAGGAACAATTCTGTTAATTCATGGCCAGTCATTTTCATCATCAACATGGCTGGAAAATTCCACGATGCAGGTCGTTTTGAAATGCTGGATTCCTGATGAGTTACTATATTTTTGTTATTTCTGCTTAAAAGTTTTAAGCTTCTTAAAAACAATTCATTTTTATGAGTGAGTTGGAAAATTATTTATTTATAGACTAATAATTCCTTTCAGATTTTCTCTGCTGCTGGATACAGATGTTTAGCTTTTGATATGCCTGGTTGTGGTAAAACTGGTGGACCTACAGTTCCGGATTCCGAGAAAGCTGAAATAATTCCTTTAGCTATGCGTGCTTTAGAACTTGAAACTGTAATTTTTTTTCCTGAAAGAAAAGGGAAGATAATGGGAAGATAATATCATGATTGAAAACGTTTACTAACTAATTTTTATTGCTTTATTCAGTCAAAACAGATTCTTTTAGTTCAGATTTTTCAATGAATGGTTTTTCTAATTGCTGTAATAGATCAAATTTTTCTTGTTCAATTTGGCTTTTGTTTTTATTCGTAATTGCAGGTCATAATTATTGGACATAGTATGGCCGGACAGTATATCGTCCCATTGCTTGGAACAAGTCGGATAACTTGCGTTGTTGCAGTTGCACTGTCAAACACAAACGTGATGCCGGCAACCCCCGAAAATATCAGGACGTCAGTGCTGGTAGTGTGGGGTGAAAATGACACTAGTCTGGGACCTAGTGCTGCCTCTAGTCTCAGTAAGTTACCCAATTCAAGGTGAATTTTCATTTTTTTTTGAAATTTCTATTTTTTGCCAAACCCAAGTCTTCAAATTTTCTTTCTTTCTTTATCTGTATATTTTCTACCTGTTTTATCTGAGTAGAACGTAAAGTCAAGTTTTCGAACTTGATATCTAAGTACTGGCTGCAAAGTTTGATAATCACATTAGTGGAGGAATCACTGGTAGACGTTATTTCACTTTACCCGTGTAATTAAAAATTTTTCTGCTGACAGATGTAATCATTTTGTTTCAATCCTTTTTTTCAGGCTCTTGAGAATACCGTCAGCAGGACATGCTTGTTACCTCAGCAATCCAGTTGCATTCCAATCAGCTTGTTTGAACTTTTTCGAAACGATGGAGTCCTTCGTTGTTCCGTCATTGTAATATCTTTCTCTGCTTTTTTTTTCACACTTTTCTATATAAATGTTCTGAAATTTGAATTTGTATGGATGTATTTCACCAGCGAACAGCTTTCTCATATTAGCGCTCAATTAATGTTTGTGTGAGGAATTTAGTTGCATTACTGTCTATGAATAAATTAGTTCTTTTGTGTGATGTGTGTGTATGTGTGTGTGCGTGTGTGTGTCTATATGCTATGTATGTATATGATGTCTTTTCCTTTTTCAAAGAAATAAGTTAAGAAGAAAGTATTATATTTTCGATTAATCATTACAATACTTGGCTGTAAACAGCTTTGTAACCATCAGCATAACATATCAACTTCTGTTGAAGACATCATGTAGGATGTGGCGAAATGTCAAGTTTTTATATAAGTGTAACTGCGAAATATAATATAAAGGAGTCGTGAAAGCAAACTGTGCATCAGAATATGGCGCTTTGCCGCAATGATGAAAAGACATTGATTGAGGTGGTTAATACTTGAAGAGTATAACAGAAGATGAGAGAAATTCTGACGTCGTTTTTTTTTTTTTCTTGGGATCGAATCTCTGAATTCTCAATTCGCTAACACAATCGATGTATGTAATGTTTTGAAAGGTCAAGGCCAGGATATCTTAATGGATTATAGCGAAATTCAGCTTGTATTAATTTGCTTTGTGAAAATGAATCCAAGAAAGAAGGGATCGTACTTCAGGAAAAGATTTGAATGAATTAGAGCAGAGAACTAAATTTTTGCTTGAATCGTTGGTTAAAAACCGATAGAAGTTCTCAAATAACGGTAACAAGTGATTCTTTTTTAAGTGGTAAACAACTGAGCTTAGAAGAAGCATTTTAAAATGCTGTTGAGTTGAATGGAATAATTGAATTGGAATAGCCAAAAGGGATACATCATCACAGAGGCATTTTCTCCTTTCCCTTAAGCTGCTTTGCTGCTTGCCACCTCTTGCGCTTACTGCACACTGATTTCTCTTCCTCCCACTCCGATCCGTTACTACCTAATCCTTTGCATTTTCAGGATTTTATTCATTTCTGTACTTTAACCGAAGTAAATATCCCCGAAAATGGTATCGACACTTAATCGTGCAATGACTCCTCATTTTTCTTTCTCTGACCTCCAGAAAATTAGAACTTTGAATAATTACCGCCAAGAACAAAAAAGTGCTTCATGGAGGAATCCCTTTTTATAAAATAAAGCATCAAGGAATTGAATTCCGCAATTCAGCACTTTTTTTCAATGTTTAAGTGTTCATATCAGTGGTGTATGAATCCCTTGCCTTTTCATCATTATCTGACTAATGGTACTTAGAAAATGACCAGTATCAACAGAGAGGAAGAAATAGCTTCAAAATGAATGATATTCACGGTGGAAAAAAAAGGGAAAGAATAGCTGAATAAAAGAAGAAAGGCGGAGCTGTGCCTTGGAAGGACTAGCTCAAGCTTCACCTCATTAAAGTCCCTTTTCTTTGGGATGTCGAAGCCTCCCTTCAGTTAGAACATCGATGGACACTAACGTCTCGATGAGTATTTCGTTCACTTCCACCATCCTCCCTCCGCAAGTCATTCCAAAAATCTTTCATTCACCGATTATCATTGAACCAATTCTCAACACTTCAAAGATCCTTCATAACTTTCGTATGAAAACATCTCTGTATATATGAAATAGAACAATCGTTTTATTTTTCCCTGAAGCCACTGTAATCGGTTATTCGAATTTCAAGATACAATCAATCGCCATTAGTTTTCATTCCGTTTGCTGTAATAATCCAATTGATACAAATTGTTAGTACATAATCTACGAGTTCTTTTGAAAGTACTGCGTCACAAATTGAAGGAAATTTTTCCAACAACACTATTTTATAATTGCCATTCCTAATCTGAAAATTTTTGTGAATCTGATTCCTTTAAGAAGTTCCAGAACAAATTTCAGGTCCTTTTTTTATCTGTATTACAAAGACTTTGAATTTTCATATAAAATTAATAGCAGTATTGACTAGTTTTTCCAAGTATTTTCATATTTTCAAGAAAGTAAAAACGAATGTATACTTCAAAGTTCCCTGAAAGTTGTACTGACGATTTAACAGAGAAAGAACAAAGTGATGTTTGAATCAAACTAATTACTTCCATGTTTTTTAGTCTATGCTAGTCAGTAAACAGAAAATTCTCGTTTATTCCCAAACACACAATTCAAAAATTTCTTTTCGTCGATCTTTTTTTTTCTCACGTATCCAAGCAACTGATCAATTTTCCTTTTGATATGAATTGTTTATCCTAAACCATTATCCTTTTTCATGTCAGATAAGTGAAATGGTCTCAAATACTATTGAAATTCATGCAAACTTTTTACGTAGGGATCGAAATTATCTATTCATTTTGCTTTTAGCTTGTCAAATTTAATTAACTTTTTTCATATTCAGCAGATTAATTCCTCAATGATCAAATGTTCTTGCTTTGTGCAAAGTTGAAATGGAAATTGTAATTTATTGTAAATGAAAACAAAGATTATACCCATCAGCAGTATTGACTGTCGTTTGATAAAGTACGACATGATTTAACGTATCCAGCTTTATTTTACATTTCAATACGTTCACGACGTATGCTTAGTGCAAGTAAAAAAATTTTCTTGTCAGAAGCAAGGTAAAGCATTCCTTCAAATTAAAATAATTGATGGTTGGAAATTTTTGTCCAATTTCAACGTTTTGAGGTTGAAATCGGAATTTTCTTCCCTTATACTTGGATACGAAGAGTTAAACAAAAGAGGAGGGTATATTTTCTTTTTTTAAATTTATTAAACGTGAAATACAGGATATGAAGTTGTTGGCCAGCAATTATTTTAACAGCAACTGCGAACCTTTTAATGAATTCAGGAATATCCCCTATACTCTCCTTTTTTTTTAAATGCTGCTAAATTTCTTGCAAAGACACATGCATCCAAACATTTGAGAAGTCTGTATGCTCAAGCCATAGAATGGAGAAAAGCTGAATGGAAAGATTTTGAAGCTGATAAAAAGACGGGTTTCGATAAAACTGCTTGTTTGCCTTTAAATGTTTAGGGTAGCATCACGCTAACTTCAGTTTTCTTTAGTATAAGCGAAATATAAATTAATTGTATGTTTGCATGCTAAATGCAAATTGAGCATACTGAAAAAGAATCTGATACCAAATGATTTTGCATCGTTTTTTTCAGAATTCATTGAGAATATTGGGAAAATTTCGGGTTGCAAGCTCGTTGTTACTAAATTAACTTACTTCAACAAATAATTTATTAAGCAGAAGTTTCGAAAATTTTTAACACGTTATGAATTTTTGTAGTCATTGAATCTATTTCTTGATCATTTGGAAATGGTTAATTAATTTCAGGACTAATTTGTTTGACAATTCTGCTCTTTAAAGATATAAATGAATGCGGAAATCGTGTAAGCCTGTTATCTGGACTTACGATAAAGAAATTTTAGAACTCAAGAAAGAAATCAATGACAAGAAAAACGGAAAGATCACATCAAATTGGTGCTCTTGATTGTCAACATTAAATTGAAAAAAAAAAATGATTGATTACTTGGGCGTTGTGGCTATTATATTCTTCTACTTGTTAATTCTTGTTGTTGGCATTTGGGCTGGCCGAAAGGCGAAAGATGTCAACTCAATGTCTATTGATGGTGAACAAACTGAAGAGGTTATGCTGGCAGGCCGAAATATTGGTACTTTAGTAGGTATCTTCACCATGACTGGTAAATATTTGATTTTGAACATTCAACATTTACAAACATTTAGGAAATTAAGCTGGTCTCATTGCGTTTCAGAATCGTGCAACTATTTTTTCTTGAAATTCTCATTTCTTGGAAATAATCACGGTTTGCCATGCTTTCCAAGATTCCCCATTTTTTGTGATGAAATTTAATCTTTTTCTGGAAAAATTACATCCTGGCAACTTCGATTCATTTTGTTGTTAAAAACTATATATGGAATTTTTTTTTTTTAATTAAAAAAAGTGCATTAGACCATTATAGTTTTATTTCCAATCTTTGGAATGTTGTATTACGGTCAGAGAATACGAAAAATTTAAGCTTCATTCTAAAATTGTCAGTTTGGGCCTTTTAAATTTTTTAAAGTTAATGTTTGACCAGAAAAATCGTCCATTTTCTTCCGCTGGCTAAGTACTGAAAATTCTTAAATCAAGCGCTGAGAATCAAAAAATATGTTTGCAAACTTATCATTAGTACGTCTAATAAACACCACATATTAATTGAATGTATTACAAAATTAGTTTAATCAAAAAATATTTTTTGCAATGATTCGAAATATTTGTTCCAGTACGATATATCTTTTCAAATTCAGACAATAAATGAAGCATGTGTTTAATATAGTCGTAATAGGCATGTACCGTTTGGGATAGACTAAATTGAAATTCGGTGCTGAGAATATTTCACGCATATATTTATAAATCAAGGGGAAATAATATAGATGAATGAGTGTGAGTTTATATGAAAATGTCTGTGAGGCCGATGGGAAAAGGTTGCAGTTTAAATAATTAATAAAATTACTCCTTAACTGTGTAAGAAAGATTATTGAAGAATTTGTATTCATTTTAATTTGTTCAAGACAAAGTAAATGGAAAATTTTCTGCAGTTTCTTAGAAACTGAAATATTCCGCCTGTTCATTCATTCACCCACTCGTTCCACTCATTCAATAAATCACTCAATCTATCAATCAATAAGTCAATCGATCATCCATTCATTCATCCATTCGTTTATTCATTCAACATACACGCGAAATGGATGCAGAAATAATTAAATGAATTTAAGCTTTGGTTTTGGATTAATTACTGCATTACATGTTCATAATTTTCCTGTTTATTTCTCACTTCTGTAAACTAAGTATTCTTTATTTTTCTAAATAAAAAAATTCAAAATTTGTAAAGTAAGTGTTGTGGAAATTCAGTTATTATCGCGATAAACTGTTAGTATCCGACTAATCTGATTGCATCCCAAAATTTCCTGCACCTTCCAAAAAATTTCTTTCAAGAAGATCAACGAGAAAAACTTTTTACGCAAATTATTGCTTTCCAAGGATTTTGGCTATCAATAACGTGTAGAGTTTGATGGAAGCTACATTTATTTAGAATTGAGGGAAGGAGTATTTGGTTTTTGGAGAAAGCTGGGATAAGAAATGAAATGGATTGTGTTTTAAGACTTATATTTAGCATAGATATGTTTTAGCTGGTTAGTATCGAACTTTTAGATGGCATTTGTGGTAAACGACTTTAACGAATCTCAAATATCTCATGGGAAAACAATTCAACAGCAAGCGATCAATTCTTACGATTTTATTCCTATTTCTGTTTGCAGTATCAGCAATAACAACAACAGCAGCAGCAGCAGCAGCAGCAACAGCAGTAGAAGCAGCAAATA